AGGTTATATCCCACATTAAATGTTCTTCCCAGTTCCAGACTGTAAGGATCGAGCACTCTTCTTCGTGTGTGCGAATTTCACATCTTTAAACAGACTTTGCTTTCTTTGCAACCACCTCGTATCTCTTTTGATTCACCAAATACCAATCTGTCACACTGGGACTTTTTCAGGGCGACAGACCGGCACAGTTAATCTTTCCTCCCACATTTTTATTCAATAAAAAATCAGAACTTCTACTAATTCTGCTATTTGATTCTAACTCTCCACTACCCTCTCTTTAACTCTTTTGGGCTTTTCTTTTTTAAAGTGGAGAGGTGTATGAATCATGTATCATTCCTTAATAAAAGGCCTGGGATGTTTTCGAGGAGACAGTCCACTTCACATGAGTCCGGATTCAAACACTTTTTTTGAAAAGGGATGAGGACTGGTGCTAAACTGTGTAATTAAAATGCAACATATTTCACTGTGTTAATTTTATACCGCATGAAGACCAGAGACAGACCCACAGGGACGCGTGGTTCATGCGTGGTTCATGCAATCTACAGACAGTAGCAGTAGTATTTCAGTGGAAGCCTAGCTAAGATGTCTCTTTGGGGGCTGCATATCGCACCCCTTGGCCGAAACCCCCTGCTTCTCACACAGAGCTCTGGCTACCCTTCCTTCATCAGAGCCCTTTAGAAGGTTATTGACTGAAGGATGATTTGGGGCAGGAGTGGGGGGGGTGGTGTAAGACTTTTGTCAGATCTGCCTCAACCAAGTGGGGCAGGAGCCCTCCTGGGTCTGGCCTCCGCTTTGAGGACTGAAGGGCCGCTGGGACGTCCTACGCAAGTCTCCTTGGAAAAGATGTTTTGGCCTACTAGGAAGGAACTCTACATGATTTCAGCTTCTTTTTTTTTTTTTCTTTTTTTTTACAAAAACAAAGTTTACAAACGAGAAGGGGCCATTGGGTCCATCTAGTCTGCCAGGGTCTGAACCGAGGATCAAAATGTTCCTTCCTGAGAGAAGCCAGGTTATTGGCTTCCACAACATGACCAGGTGGCTTGTTCCAGGCCCCCGCTACCCTTGGTGTAAAAAGGCACCAAAGAAACGCTGGCCGCTGGGGAGTTCCCCCGAGTGCGCGAGAGCCTCGTAGCTCACTAGCTGGTCAGGTTTCGACAGTGCATCCCATCTGATATGCCGGATTAAAGGTGTCAATTCCACAGCCCAGTTTCTGGTTCGATTTAAAAACAAGTTGTGGATGAGACGCAGCGCGGAGGTACCGTCGGCGTGTCCTGGGACCGGCCGGGAGGAGGCTGGCTACTGCCGGCGCCGCCGGTTTATGGCCTTGGTGGAGGCCCTCAGCTTGCGCAGCCGGAGCATGCGCAGGCGCAGCTGCATGTCCTGCGGGACCTTCCCTCCCTTGGCCAGGATCTCCCGCAGCCGCTGCTTGAAGGTCTTGCTCAGCTCGAAGTCGCAGATGGTGGGGTGGCCCTCGTAGTTCACGCGGCACATCCTCTTGGCGGGGATGTATCCCTCCGCCCTGACCGTCACCTCATACTCCCCGGGGTTCAGCAGGCGCCAGTAGTCCCCGTCGAAGGCTGGAGGAGAAACAGCAGCAGCAGCAGAGAGGACAACATCCGGGCTCAGTGATAAAACAAACAAGGGACAAACTGACCAATACAGCTGTGCCCTAAGGTTAAACCGGATGATAACACACATTACAAATACGTATCCAAGACATGGTTTAAGATAAACAGTAGGACTGGCAATATACAGTAGGTTTACAATGTATTATGTACTGTACAGATTCCATATAAATTCACTATATAGTAATTACCATGAGCATGCTGAAGGTGACTACATGATTATGTGTTAATTTTTTAATAGATCTGCATCTTAAATAACCAATGAAGCCTTAATATACCCAACCCTGCAAGAATCAGAACCAATGCTAGATAAAATACTTAACAGGGTCAGGAAGCCTGTAAATGTACCTTAACCGATTGGATGCTGAAATGCTAAAACGAAAGGAAATTTAGGCTGGTAATGTGTCACGGCTGTAATTTCTGAGAAAGAAAAAGAAAATGAGACAGATCATGACAGCGCACCGGTCCTGATGTCGTGGTCGATGTCGTCCACAGAAACGATGGCGTCAGCGATGCCGGCCTGCGTGTCCTTGTCTCTCACGACACCCTTAAGGCCCCTGTGCACCTGGGGGACGAGAGAGAGGGGGACAGAGGAGGAGAGAGGGGGAGAGAGGGGGAGGGGGAAAAGGAGGAGGGGGGAGGGAGGAGAGAAGGAAAGAGGAGGAGAGAGGGAGGAGAGTGAGGGGAGAAAGGGTGAGAGAAGGAGAGGGAGAGAGAGGGGGAAAGAGGAGGAGGGAGGAGGGGAGAGAGGGGCAAAAAGGAGGAGGGAGGGCAGGGAGTGAGAGGAGAAAGGGAGGGGGGAGAGGAGAGAGGTAGAACTTGCCTCAGACTATTGCTTTAATCCAGGGAGAGACAGACTGCGGGACACCAAACTGACCATGAGAAAGACAGGATTGATATTGACCACTTACTCTTTCTGCAACAACAAGAGAAACTTTGAGCTTCTCTCATTGCTGCAGAACAACGAGATTTATATCTAATTTATATCTAATGCGTGTGTCTGACCCAAGGTTCTGCAGTCAACCCTGGGCAGAAGTATGTTTAATGACCCATTCTGTCTACTGGGGTAATAAAACTAATCAATAGGTAATCAAAACCCAACACTTTAAATAAAGATCTAGTGTGGAAACAACTGGCACAGTGGATGAAGGAAGATGCTAAGACGCACTCGCTCCTGCCTCAGGCAGCTTACAGGAGGCTTCTTGAGCATCTAAATGTCGTGGTTTTCGTTCTAACTTTACGTGTAAATGCTATTGCGCCGGCTCTGGAAAGACGCCCCCCGGCTCGCGTTACGGCGCGACCCCACCCTCTGTCCCAGGCCCACCTGCTCCATGTAGATCAGCAGTGACTCCCTGTTGTTCTCCCACTCGGTGGGCAGCTCGCTGGCGTGGGGGAACTTGTCGCAGGACAGCTCGACAGTCACCTCAAAGCAGTTGGTGTGCAGGTAGCTGAAGTCATTCATACCTGCACGACAGCACAGGAGCAGTAGTGTGGACACCTTCCACTGGGCACGAACAGCCCACAGCATCGACAAGCAGGCAAACGTCAAAACCGCAGAGGATATTTCAATTGCACAATACTGTAATACAGGTCAGTCATATTTCTCTTCGGGCCAGAAAAGCTCTTCATTTTGACATGACATGACATTTTGACATTTTGAAATGTATTTAATTTACAGTTTATCTAATGTGTGTAAACTGTGCAAATATTTGGATTTTGATATATAATTTCTGGCTCAAGAAAATACAATCTAAATAATATATATTCATATTATTAAAAGAGTGGCACAGTGGCACAGTGGTTAAAATAGTGTTGGGACCCTGTGTTCAATTACGGACCTGGGTGCTATCTGCGTCCTCCCTGCGTTTCCTCTGGGTGCTCATTTTCACCAAACTTTGATGTGAATTCTTCATAAAAGTCAATAACAAATGTGTAAAAAACATCCCATTATTATTTAGTAAAGAATCCATAGACTTTAGGAATAATAAACTATAAACACTAATGCAAAAAAAAGGAGTTAGAAAGTTCAGGGCATCCTAGACATCTGTACCCCACCTTATGACCACTGCTTGCTGGGTTAGTTCGCTTATAGGTGCTATAAAATAGTTTTATTTTTGATCAGAAAATGGATGGATCACATACTTTTTCCAGCCCGGAATGAATGTTTAAACAATGTGTTCAGTACTGACAAGAGGAAGTACAATTGTTTGTGTGTTATTAGTTTAAGCAGATTGTGTTTGTCTATTATTGTGACTATTATTGTGCGATCAGACCACATTTTTATGAGTAATTAATGCAGAAATCCAGGTAAATCCAAAGGGTTCACAAAAAGTAATGGAGTTAATATGTGGAGTAGTGGAGTTAATATGTCCAGCAGTATCTGATATATATAATGTGACTGTATTGCCTGCATGTATGTGGAAGTGCATTTAAAAAAGAGGACAGAAGGCACTCCTTTACACAAAGGGTTGTGGGAGCATGGAACAAGCTACACATCTGGCTGGGTGAGATCCTTGGATCACTTTAATACTAACTACCAAACCAGCCAGACAGGTCACAGGGCCTCCTCTCATTTGTAACCTTCCTTATGTTCTGTAGCGCTGCTGTGGATGCTGAGATACTGCAGGCAGGTCCGGTCGAACGGTACTCACTGCCCGGCACAGTGTGCCAGTTGGCTCCGTTGATGATGTTGTTGTGCTGCTTGAAGTCCTCGTAGTGGCAGTCCCGGCGGTCTGGGTTGGCCATTACGCGGTTGGTGGTGGCGTAGACAGTGGCCAGCCAGCGGAAGAAGCTGTCGTCCGCAGTGGGCGTCAGCTCTTTCGGAGCCCAGTCGCGGGTCATGTCGAACGGGTAGGTGACCACCAGCTCTCCACCATGAAGGTTGGCACTCAGGACGAAAGGAATTTTCTCCATCCAGTTAATCACCGCGCGAGTTTCTGGGGCAACCTGTGTTACAGAGGAAGACAAACGTTGGTTTGGTTCCCACTTTGGCTATTGAGATTATGTACGCATGTGATAGGGCAGCTGCAGTGTGGGTGGGAGTTACAGCTGACCCGTCACAAGAGGTGGATTGTTGATTTAATTAGTTAATTGGTGGAGGGTTAAGGGCCACATCCTAAAATAGGGATAATTTAAGAGTGGGATATAAAGGAACTCATGGTGGCAGATGATTGTTTTAAGCACACTTCTCAAATGTAAAAAGATCACCTCAGCCACTGTATTTCCTTTTTAAATTTCCAAATTTCACTGTAGCACCGGTGCAGTCCTCGTTGTGACAACCCTAACAGCAGGTGGCACTCAAGAGTTCATTTCCACATGCTGGCACTCCACCAGACTTCAGCTCACAAAAAACGAGGGACAATTCTGGTCTTTTCAGAATTTATGCTTATCAAGAGCATACTTCGCTAAACACTAAGTTGGCATCGTCTCTCAGTTCACCAAACCACCAGAAACCCGTGGATCTGACAAGTAGAGACTTCAGAATTTGCTGAACATACAGTTGCATAGCTACTAAATAGAACTGGCTCCAGGGTGCAGTAAGGATGAGAAATGAACAAGCTTGATCAGATTCACAAATGCCTCTCAGTGTGTTACCATCAGACCACAATATCCCAATGAAGGAAAATAAAGGGCTAGCAAGGGCAACATATTGGCTAATATAGTATATCATAGGTTTGAGTGAGCTGCTGTAGTGTGCAGACTGCAAAGGGGGAAGACTCTAGGGCCCAAATGTGGTGCTTTCTTTCATTATGGAATTAACCCTTTACTTATTCCTAATGCATCACAAGCTAGTCAAATGTAATTATTTACAATAAATGTAAGTTGACAACTATGCTCAAAGCATGTGTTTGTGAACCTTATAGATTATCCTGCAATCTCTGACACAAATTCAGGGACATTATTAAAACTCACCGCAGATGCATTTTTGAAAGACAATTGCCCTTGCAATTTAAGAAATGCTCTGCTCATGGGACTTGCCGAGAAATACTGTATGCATTGGACAATGGCAAAACACATACAGTACTAGAATTATTGGGGACTATTTTACTAATTATTCTTTTTAGTTTGAGTGCCGTGGTCAACTGTTTACAGATAAAAATTAAATTCCAAGTTACTTAGGATAGACGGGGCCCCATCAGGAGGTGCAAGTTACTGCGCAGAATGGAAATAAGTGAATGCACAGATACAATGAGTGAGGCCGAGCCGAGTTAGTCACCACTGTTTGCAAAGCAGACAAAAATATTGTTGTACAATTCTCAGAGAATGTAAAAGGGGCCTATTTAGTGCTAAGCAGCTAGTGCGCACTACAAAATAAATCTTAAAATTACTTGAAACAGTAACAACAGATATTGCACAGACATGTAATTTGCTGCTGACTTAGGCACCACTTTAAAAAGCTCTATGCATTATATATGAAGTGGGGATATATTACTACATAGGGAACTCACTTTGTCCACGCAAACATCCATTTCCTAACTGCTTCTTCCAATTCAGGGCTCTAAGGGAGCTGGAGCCTATCCTGGCAAGCAACAGGTGCAACCCAGGGGTACACCCTGGAATGGACACCCACTGTTTTGTGTAATGTTATACTCAGCCCTCAACACCACCCCATTCTGTGCTGGTTTTGGTGACAGATTGTCTCATTGAGGGACAGTAGTAACCATTGATCTGCCACTAGAGGTCGCCAAACACAATGTCATAGCTCATGGCTTCATTCTGGTGTGCATTATTCACTTATTGTATAATTGAATACTGGTTTGGAATGTGCATTTTCCAAGCATTGGAAATGGTTGGAAAAGGGTGTCACTGTGATTGTGGCCATCAGGCTTAGCCTTTGTAAGTATATTATCTTTAAGGTGTCTTTGTTTTTATAAGAGAGTGCGAAGACCTTTAAAATCACACCAGTAAAATACCCCAGCCCATTATAAACTGTGTTTTTGGTTATTTATATGAACAAATCCCCTGAGTCATGCTCCCTAAGGATGGGATCTATCACAATACCTACACTTATGCTATACTTCCATTTTGCACATTTTCTGGGTAGAGCTTAACAGCAGTCTATAACATTAGATGAAACCATTGTGTACGTGCCTTCAGTAAAAAGCAAAAAACAGATGCCAAAACAAAACACATCTTAGAAAGATGTGTGAGACCTCAGTCGCCCAGACTGTTTCATACCCGCCCTGCCTCAGACACACACACACAAACCTGATCTTTCTGGCACCAGCACAGTACTGACAGCCTGTACACATGGCACAGAAAAGCGAGTGGCTAGCGGTACTGTGCCAGCCCTGCAGACAGGAAATGTGCCTTTATAGAATACAAAATACTAGATTCCTGGTGTTGTGCACTTGGACTATAGTTTCATTACATTTTAATGCAGTCTTTGCAATGAAACACAGGATACTTAGTAATAAAAAAGCATATAAAATGTGTCCTTGCAATCTTTAACAGTTTGTTGACCCCCAACATGTCTTTTTAAAAAGCTTTTTATTGCCAAATAAAAACATAGTTGTTGGCTGGCGATGACTCAGAGCCGTATCATATGGTCTCTGTTTCACTTGGTTAAACCGCCTTTCAATTTCCTCACTGCTGGCACAGCATGCAGCTCGTTTCAATACGGTTATTAAGCAGAGCGCTTAGGAAAACTGGATATTCTTTCCACTTCATCCAATTCTTCCAGCACTGCAATTCTGCCTCAGTGAAAAGATGACTTTCTAGCATTTTCACATGTGTTCATACACAGAAGCACTTCTAGCATTATAAAACTGGTACCAGCAAATACCTTTTACCCTCCCCTGCAAATGAACATGACAAGACAGTGGTGTCGTTTCACCCCCTTCAGCTGGAGCTGATCCAACAGCAGGTACGGTGCTGAACTCTGCTGGCTCAGCAGATACTCAAGGTCCAGGAAATGCAGTGCCTGTAACGCACCAGTAACTTAGAAATCTGTCACCTCTCTGATGAATCACACACAAGTACTGAGAAGCAGAACACTGGGAAGGGAATAACAGAGTTCGGTGATTATTTCCTTCACTAAAAGAGTTTAGCAAATGAATCAGTTTTAAAAAAAAACACTCCCTTTTTTGGCATAGTGCCTTAGTTTTTTTCCAAGCCTCTAAGCCACTTACAAAGGCCGTCTCCAAAGTGTAGTATTCGGGAATGGGAATGTAATGATTGACCGCTTTCGTTTTGTCCTGCTCCCTCTCCTGCGACTCCCACATGACCGAATTGAGGTCCGCGAAGTTGTGGTTCATATCGATTCCCTCGACGCTGTAGCGACCCAAAGCCCAGCCGGCCAGCTCTGAGCCCTGGGGGGTAGGAACAGACAGCAGGGAGTCACTCAAGGGTCAGGAGCACCTGGCAGCAGGATCTGAGCTTTCCACCACAGTGTCTTCAGATTTCCCATTGTTCACCTGACTGTCTGTTTCGTACCACTATGATAAACTAGGTAGCAGCTTTCAGGTTCTTTTTCTGATGAAAAAAAACAACAACCATAAAATCCCAGCAGCTGTGAGAGTTGTGTTAACAGACTTGAGGCCTTGAGTAGTGAAACCAGGAATTGAGTAATTCTTCTGGCTTCTCTTCTCTTGGTGGAAGATACCCTTGCTCTTCATGGTTATGCATACTGTCTTTTGTGTTCTGCTAGAAATGACTATTACTAACTGGTAATAATAATTACTAACTATTTTCGGCCTTAATTTTCTGGACTTTAAAATGAAACTAAGAAGATAATAGCACAGGAATGGGAATGACAGGAGACCATTCAGCCCATCTGACCTTTAAGAGGTTGTAGCTTATTGGTCCAAGTATTTCTCCCAGCTGTTCTTTAAAGAAAGCAGAGTTTCAGCTTCACCTACACTGTGGGTATTTCGACCAAGGCGACTGACATTTCAGGTATTTTACTTAGCTGCCTTAATCACCAATAAACAGTTTCAAAGTACTGTAAATTTTGGGAACAATATCAGCAGTAAAACATCAGTTGGTTTCAACACAAGCTTCAAAATGTAGGAAAATGTTTCAGGTTAAAGGCTGAGATGAACCACTGGGATAATGAAATAAATTAACTGATTAGGGCGGAGCGGTGGCTAAGGATCTGTGCCTGTG